AAAGGCCGTCTGATTCTCATGCGCAGCCTGCGCATTGCGTTAGAAGGGTCGTGTGCAACGTGTGGAGGAGTTCGAAATCATCAACAAGCAGCGGTGACGTCGGAGCTTTGACAGCCGCTAAGATGACGGCTCAGTGGTCCCGGGCCATGCGCTTGGGCGAAGAGATACCTTCCGGCTTGTTTACATCCACTTCATTGTCTCGTAGGATAACGATTAGCACTGTGCGTTGTTTTTCACTCTCCGAATAACTGTCTGGCGCTAGTGCATACCCCAACTCGCGCCGAAGCTCTCCGTTTCGGTGGCTGGTTCTTGGGCTGATCCGCCCCATGTAAGCGTCCGCGCGCGGCCCGTTCAAGCGTTCCACATATGCATTACTGTATTTAATTCCAATAAGTATAGGAATACAATTTTTTATGTATACTTTTTATATTATTTAAATGCCAAATTAATACCGCATAATATAATAAGTGTATAATAAATGACGTATGATGTTATCACTTATTTAAATGTCAAATAACTAAATATTCCCTAATACAGAATTATCTAAAGTGTAAGCTCTCCTCCATCGATAAGTCCAAATGTCAAAAAGAATTCCGTTGATTAAATTTACTGGAATGTTTTTAATATAATATAACATTCTAATATCACCTTTATAGTTTGTTTGGAGGTAAGTCTCAAAATGAAGTTTCTAATCGTGTAAGTAAATTATGAAGCGGTTGTTTAAGTAAATTATGAAGATATACAGTTACCAACACATAGAATCCACAGAAAAGGCATTGGGCCCAATTTAATAAATCTATAATATGTTTTTTCACAACACCTTCTACATTCTTTAAGGTCATGGAAAGATTGTTAACTTGTTCAACAGCATACTAGATAGGCTTATGAGTTAAAGCACGTACAAACTTATAGCCTCAACTCACAATCTAAATTATGAATTCTGGTTACGTTATTTCGGGATGTGATGAATTCTACTCTTCGTTATCCACAGTCGTTGCAAGGATTTTCATTTGTACCACACAGTCATGAACATTACAGCATTCACAGTTCAAGCATGTCGAATGCGCAAATTTAGATTATAAAATTAGGTGTAGTAGTAAACAAATAGTGTAATTCAAAGTGTTCCTAATGTTTACAACGAAATAAAGTTTCACACGACACATACATTATCAAAACTTTCTTTCGACACGAACTTACACTCTTACATAAATGATGAGGAAGTGCATTTGGAGACACCACAGGAGTTAATAATTCACTTACGTACGGACTCAAGAAATAAAAACGGATTATCTAACATTTAAGAGGATATAATGTAAATTTTTCGTTTTTCCTTTCTAAAATTACTTGCGCAGTTTGAATGCGTTGTCAAACAAAGAATGCATCCTCCTCCGACCTTGAAAGTAATGGTTCAAAAAATCCATAGCCAATTTAATATTTAATGTTTTTATTGACCATAAAAATAGAATGAAATACATCGTAGGATGAGGTGACTCACCGCCACATCTGTTGCCCCTGCAGCATCTCTCACAGGGAGTTTCTAAGGTTCAAGACATGTTGGTGACGATTTTTCGACACTAGATCGGAAGCTGGATCTAATTCAGCTACTGTCTGGAGGAGAATCTATTCGCTGATTGCTCTGATTGCTAGTTTTCTGTGGTTCAACATCTAGCGAATGCTGGAGCAGTGCTCTCAAAGCGAGCAACAAACTGCGAGCGATCTCCCCTTTCGCGTCCGTGTTCTATTCCCCCCCCCTCCTTAAATACACTTACGCTGCCACATGCCAAGGGACCAATAGGGAGCTAAGGGCTTCTCCCGACTGGGAGGGTACCCCACAAAGAGAGCATCCTGGAAAGGGCCGCGCGCAAGCCACGAATTATTCCGAATATTTTCTCTTCCTCGTTTCCTTTCTATAATGAGATCAAGACTTCGATGACCTCCACATAGCACAATACAATTGCTTTGGCTCTTCACCCAGTATCAAAAGAGCATGAAAACCTACATTACTTTAAAATCCCTTTCACTAAATTTCATTTTTTTTTCTTTCATATGTCCCGCAAAATGCTCCTCAACGGGTCTTCTAAAATCTTCGTTCTTAGTATCATTGATACTTTCCTGGTTTTCTCTTCGGTGTCAGAAAAGAGGAATGTCAAAGTTGCTTGTCATATCATATATTACGCATTCAATTACACTTCGCTAAAGTAATTCATAGTTGTGATAACAACAGGGGGAAACAATGCCCTTTTTCTCTTCTGTCTCTCTCTCTCTTGTCGTCTCTGTCTGTCTCTGTCTTTCTCTCTCTGTCTCTCCGTCTCTCTGCTGTCTCTGTCGTCTGTCTCTCTCGCTCCTAGATACTCATCTCTGTCTCTCTCTGTCTCTCTCTGTCTCTTCTCGTCCTCTCTCTCTCTCTCTTATCTTTTCTCGAGGATGACACATGCGCTATTAAGGCGAACAGTAATTGAGGCACCTGTGTTCCATTATTTTTCAAAATGTCTTCGAGGTCCTAGCAAACCAAATAGCCTACGTTTGCTCTTTACCAGAAGCGTTTGGTAATTTTTAAACTCAGATGAGCGGCTCTTTGACTCCAAATGACACAATTAGGGAAATCTTTCTTCTTTCGATACTCTGAAATTTAATTCTGGTAACAACTTTCAGCCTCAAGGAACATTAATAATCAGAAGGATGTCATTTTCCGACGCAAATATCACCCTATGCGCAGATGTGCAGATTGGTAGAAGGAAAGCAAATCAGACGCAGTCAGCTTCTCACACAATATAATTTTTAAATAGAAAACAGTAATTTCCAGTGATTTTATAAAAGATAATAAAGGAAACTTGTGAGACAAATATTTATTGTGAAGAAAAAACCCGTATGTATAGTGAATAAGTGGTTAAGTCAAATTTCCCCGCTTTTCCCGGTGCAAATTTTATCTCAACTCATTACAGATGACAGAAATTATATCGGCTTTATTATGGGGAGAATTAGTAACATGAGTGTACCTTTGAACAAATTTCGTTTATTTATAACAAAATTCCGATTTTACACAACTGCGAAAAGAGAGAGAGAGAGAGAGAGAGAGAGAGAGAGAGAGACCTTAACCTATTCTATTGATTATTCTAGGTAAAGTATAATTTGCTTATTCAACAGCTAACGGTGTAAATGATATTCAGATATAATTAACCCTCCGATCACGACGATCTCGAAGAGCTAATGTGTCACTTTGTTACTGAAAGCGCGTGCACGTGCTTTTCAGCTGTCTCTGATGGTCGTTGCATTCATGCGTCCCTCTCCAACTGATATCACATGCAGCCACCTGTGGTAAAACCCGGGCAGTATAACATGCTCAATCTCTTTCCAACATGCATTGCAAGACTGCACTGAAGGTCAGATACACTGATTTCAACGAAGGTCGGCAAACAGAAGCCTCTGTGACTTGCAAGCAAATTTGTAGGATCTGGAATGTGGACATTCATTGTTGAACAATTTTTGTAAACACCAAAATAGGAGTGATTCAGTACCTACTTTTTCCATTGTAGAGTAGTTCTTTTACTATTTTAATTCATTTTTTAAAGTCAGACTTAAAACACCTAGCGCAACCCTTAATATTTAGATTCAAAACATTTGAATCTGGGGAGAGAAGTGCTTGTATGGCAAAGTGCACCTTCATGATAGAAATCGAAATGAAAAAACAACTAATGTACTTCCCCGTAAGTACTTCTCGTTTTATAACTTTTCCTACCTTCTAGTATGAATTACTGGGGGGAGGAGTTCTAATATGAGACTACGCCGAACCTTTCCACTTCTTTATATTATGTGACATTTCCTATAGATATATTTCATGACCCTTATCATGACCCTTTCATGCCTAGAAGTCAAGCTCCTTACGTGACGTTGCACCGAGTCGAAAGTAGAACACACCATATGCTCTTCTCAAATTAATTTTGTCTGCTCGACAGAAAGAATAATTTTAAACGTTAGTGGCTAAATCACTACGCACACGTTCGCATCAACATTATTGTTAGTCATTATGAACACCATTCATTGTTACCAAAGCACACATAGTTTTGGTTTAGATAGAAATGCAAATAATAAAAATAAAGATATAATGACAACTTTTCCTAAAAGCCATATATTATTTTTAAAACATAACTTGTGCGTCCTGTTACGAGAACCGCTCGACTTCACCATGATGTTCCACTAGCAATGATGTTCAACGGCCGGGTTGAGTTTCGCTCAGACCGCTGCCTCCGCAGACCGGGGAGTCCTAAGGATCGAGTCCCGACGGTGGCGGTTTTTCAGCACTAGCTCCATAACCGGGTCGAATTCAGCTGCTGCCTGGGGAAGAATTCTAGCGGTTCGGTAGTTGTCCTATTTCTCCGATCAACAGCAAGCGAATACCGGATCCGCTCCCTAACGAGCGCGGCACGTACTGCGCGCACGGTGTTTCCTTCCTGTCTTGTTCTATCGGCTCCGCTTATTCCCACACTTACTCTTACATGCACCTCGTACTTCCACACATATCGGGAGCTTAGAGCTCCGATATGTGTTCCGGCTGAGGCGATGCCTAGCAAGTAGTAGATACCGGGGGGGGGGCATTCCTCACAAGCCGACGTGTACGTCGGCGTCGAATCTCACCATCTAGAAGAGAGGCGCCCTGCCACCTCCAACGCTTAAACGTCCACTACACTAACGCACTAGTAGGGAGCGCAGCAATTAATGTCCCCGAACACAATAATCCCATAAAACAATCAATCAGTCAACTGCCGTAAAACCTGTAAAAACTTGATACTACGCGTCCTGATGGACCGCCGAAAAGGCAAGGCGCGGCGTGGTGGGGGGAGGGGGCGGCGCCAGCGCCTTGCGTCTTCCATGCGGCGGTGGCGGCTGCGACGACGGCTCGCGTGACCCGGACGCCTGTTTATCCGCGCGAGGGGGCGGCGGCGGCGGAGGGCGAGCAAGCTAATTGAGCGCCGCGCTCTTTGCGGCGCGCTCGCGAGCGACTCATGCGCACAAGCGCGCGTCGGCGGCCGCCGCCGCCGCCGCCGTGGGGTTTTCTAAAAAGCGGCGCCGTAGTGCTCGAGGGCCCGGCGCCCCGCAGTGCACCGTCGCCCCGCGCTCACCGCGTTCACTCCTTCGAGCACGCCGGCGCTTACGCTCGACGTAAGCCCACGCACGCGGACACGGACGCCGCCGCCGCCCCCGCCCTGGAAGTGAGTACGTCCCACGCTACGCGCCACGCACGCACGCACGCACGCGCCGATGCGCACAACGCACCTGCCCACTGCGCACAGTGCGCCTCCGTCTCCGCGCCGGCTGGCTCTGCGCTTCGGGCTCGGCGGTATATATTCACCGCGTGTGACCTTGAGGAAGGTTGGAAACAACTTTTCGGTCACGCTATTTCTTCCAGTTGGTTTTTAAAAGATTGTAATACAAAACAGCTGTATCTATCCGAGACGCATATCAAACTTACTACTTAAATTTTATTCAGAACTTGTGGGTCGACTTTTCAAACTCGACCAGTTTCTCTGATGATTATAGCTTCGTATTCATAATTACGTATACTTCTTTCTTGTGGGAAAACAGCAAAGTTTTCACGAATATTTTTTGAGTACCGGAATTTCATGTAATTACCCAAAGATCGTATTTTACCACTTTCAATTCAAAGCTAAGTGAATAAGTTGCATTCCCAACGCCGTTCAAAAAGGAACAAAAATAATGAAGATAAATCATTCCTAATCTTTACCTTGCTGAAAGTCGGTTGTACTAGACATACATACCTGGTTATTCTCTGAACGCAATACGAATGATGCCAGAATTTACACATCAGCGTCAGCCAGATTTTGTAAATGTAAGTCAATGAACTGCTTGAGATTAGTAGATTATTTGATGAAGTTCCAACATGTCAAAAACCCAAGAACTGCATTCATTTATTTATCAGAAATTTGTTGATACTCCTTCCGTGACCGCCATTGTGACTGTGGCACAAAGATGTAGTCGGTATAGTCATGTGAGGCATTATTTTGTATCTCATTTCTGCGAAACTAAACTCATGGTTAGTATGTAACATGTAGAAATTATTATCATTTATTTTAGGAATGATATTTAAATTGGGTTGTGGCGGAGGAACTCCGTATTACTTGTGTCACTCCGCGATCAGAGGAATACTCGCAAGAAAACTATTTATGTTGCTAGAATTCAATTAAAATACACTTCAAATTGTCTATTTAAATAAATGTTATTTGCATGAATTATTCGTATTCTGATTTTCAGTGATGATGGTCGGTAAGGAACATTCCATTTGATGTTCAGCCTCATTATCTTCGACGTCCATGATCACACTTTGGATTTCTCTATCAATAATTCATTTTAATATTCTCGCGTGTTTTAGACTTCATTTTTATCAATTCTGACAATATGATGGCCACTGTCGATATCGTAACCAATTAAAGCATTTATGGAAGCTTTTCCTAACTTCCAACTGCATTCACTGAACTCACACTTCCGAGGCATGCTGCCGGAAGAATATATTTCGCAAAACAAAGGCAGCTTCGGCGATGCTGACTGTTTTAGAATCCGCTCAAATAATTATCAGCTGGCCTGAAATGAGTACAGAATCCACCGCTAAGTAAACACAGGAATTTTCGCTCGTAAAACACAGTGACACAGCAGTGGCACGATTGCCCCCAAAAACAAGATAAACGAAGCTGAAAAATGTTGCACTGCAGTACGCTCTGAAGAAGGCCACAATACGCTGGCCAAAACTTTAGCCACCATGACATTGACGCGGCTCGTCCCGGATAGCCCAGCCAACATGAACTCAGGCCGCGGAAGCCTACGCAACCGAACCTGAAAAATCTCGATCCACTATAGTTCGTTTGCTTGCATTGCGTTTATTATATTAAAATATTTTTTAGAGCGGCTCTATAATATTGTATGATATTTGTTCCTGAAATTCTACAATACAGATAGTGAGACATCATAATTCACATTCTATTGCATCATAATGCGCACAATAATATCTTCGTAGATGTGTGGGATCCCAAGAGTCAGATTCTAGTAAAAGAGTCAGCCTGCCATTAAAAGAGTATTTTTCTTTTGAGAAATGTACAGAAATTTTAAAAAATCATTATTTTGTGACGTTAAAGTGACAGTAGACGTATTAAGAAACTATTTTTTTCATTAAAGAATTCTTGCAATTTCTATGTCAAAGTTCAATCTTTATCGCACTTTTCTTTTAAAATCCTGTAAGGACATATTTCCTATTCTCTTTTAAAATCATGCATTCGATTATGTTGAGAAACACGTTTACTTACGTCCCCGGCTTGACTTCAGAGAAAAAGAAAGCGATATACTGCCCTTTTAACTTGCACATCGACTTCAGTCATCCATCTTTGTCAACTAAAAGTATTCACATAGCAATCCGCACACGTACAAGGATGAAAGCACGATGCGATAAACCTAACACGGACTCACGGTTTGACTTTGTAGTCGCTTTTTACCGCACGCGTGTGCTACACAGGAATGTCCAGAACATTACCATATTTGCAAATCCGAAATTCGACGATCATTTTCCTGATTAATTATTATTTCAGTGCCTCACTCCATCTGATAATCTGGATATCGGAGAAACTGGACTCATCAAGTGCAAAGAGAATAACAAGAAAACATGGGGCTACTTGTAAGTCGTGGTGATTCAATGTTTTCACTGTTTCTTCGTAAGTAAGTACGAAAGATCATTATTTACATTGTCATTTCTATACGTACGCAAAATTTGGGGGTTTTGTGAGAAGTTTTTAGAAACTTGAGTATGGTAATTTAAGAATTACTGCATTATGTGGCTTTTAAGTGAATATTCATGTGCGAAAAAAAGTTCAAAAGTTCTAGATGCTTACATTTTACTCTAGGCTATTTGCTTTGCTCTTTATAAAATGCACATGCTTGCATTTTCAAGTCTTTAATAAAATGTGTTAGCATTTTCGATGATTAAGTTATCAGAAATCAGATAAATATGTTCCGTGTAATCTGCAGAAACGAAACTTAATCCCTGCAGTTACTCGTTTCTAAAGAATAAAGTTTCTCCTTGCTCTTGTCGCACACAGGGTCATAGGTGTAGAGTTAGGTGTTCAGAAATGTTCGTCGTTTATGCAAATGTCCGGTTGGCGGAACACTGCTCACAATCAACGGTCCTCATGCGGTACGATCGACCTTGGATGGGCCAGTTCCTTCGTATCGCGGCAAACTTGCTTTCGACATGCACTAGCCTCTACTGACTTGGAGTTGTGCTATAAATAGTAGAAATTTTGCAGATCGTTACATCAAAGCTACAGCTGAAACGAGAGAATAATGAAGAGTTTTTATTAAAAAAAACTTATCAGCATTGGAGTTTCACAAAGTGAATGTATTGTGCCGTGCTTAAAGAAACAGGAGCTTTTCAAGTAACAGATTATACTATGTAGATGGAGGAACTAGTTCTTTCCATGAACGATACTTCTTAATTCATTAATTATTTTTAGACGTTAACTTTTGTAAATTTCTACACAAGTACATCTCTACACAACCGTTGAAGAAAGTGTTAAAATAAAATATAGTGTAGTGCGTTAAAAATGCATTACGTTTAACATTAAAACGAAAAGTAAAATAACCATTAAGTAACGACAATCAGTTCTAATGCATAAGCATAAATATGATTATCCGTTAGGTATGTTCCAGTTCGTACATTCACTAGAGTTTCAGAATTAAAAAAGAAAACCTTTCCTAAAAATATCCACAATCACTAATGTTCAGTAACAACCAGGCCCCTGCATGCAAAAGGATGGAATTGCTAAAAACGTTTTGAGAACAACAGCTACATTATTGTAGCGGATTAAAGTTAAAAAAATGTAGAGATACAAAAATGTAGAGATGCGAAAATTGCGATGGAGTTTTGTAGCATTGAAGTTCAGATGAAAGATTTCATGTGATAATTAACAACAAATTCATGTAATAATTATTAACTAGCGATAGCCGACTCTCATTCACTTTGCCGATATCATCCTTGCAAGAAGGTGGAGAAAGAGCGGCAACTGTGGTCTCCCGCCTCAATGGGGTCACGAACAGTGAGACCTCGTGGCTAGAAGCACTTCTTTTCGTTGGCAATGTTGACAACAATAAAAATACCGGGCAAAAGTGCTTTCTAGAGCCGAACATTTTTTACAGATAACCGACAATTTTTACAGATAAAACGCGTTAAAAAGAGAAGATATTCACTTACATGCACGCAAATTACATACATATATAATAAGGCTTCGGCATAGAATTATATTATCTGCAAATGATAAAAATCCGAACTTAATCATCGGACCGAACAAAGTGAACCAGCTCAAATTGACAATGCGGAATAATCCTAAGTTTCGTAAAGTTATTATACTTCTTTCATAATGAAAACTATCCAAGCGACACAGAATAAATGTTACAAACGTTTATGACCTGTAGTGGGGTCGAAGATTGTCACATTTTCTCATTTCGTGTAATGAAGTTACAAATGGGATTCTTGCCTCTGATTACCAAGCAACGCCTCGAGCACGAGCGTTATACTGGCACAGAAAATCTCGTCTGCATCAAAACGTTTCGTTAATTAGTGATTTGTTGGTCACTAATTAACAAAAAGTTGCCTAACAATCTGGAGCACATGTGTACCTATATTAAATGAAATTTTCCCCCATACATTTATCACCATTGAGATAAAGGTATTTTGAATTATTTTACTAAACTCTTGTAACACTTATTCTGAGACATCCCGAATCGTAAAATTTGTTCTCTTGAGCTTTCCCTCATCTATTTCATTTTTCAACACCGATTTTCCTTACTGAGCCCTTATTCTTCAGACCACACATTTCACTCCGAGAAGCAACTCAAGTTAAATACAAGGTAATGGTGATCATCATGAAATCGCCCTTAGCTCATACCTCCATTGTCGAAATTTAGCCGCAACAAACAGTGGGCGTCAGTGTTGTCCGTGGTGCTGAGCGCAGCGCGTCTGTTGCAGCCGGAGCCGCCCAAATTGGACCCGGCGCTGGTGGAGCATGGCTCCGCCATGCGCGCCGCCATCCCGGTGCTGCCGCTGCCGCTCGCCTGGCTGTGCTGCCTCTTCAACATCTTCATCCCCGGCTTCGGTGAGGACGCTCCCCACCGCATACTACTTACGCAGTGAACAGAAAGAATTGGAATGCCAAGGCGATTTTTCGACAGAAAAACTGGTCTTGTAGGGCGTTCATGCCGAAAAATTGTGATTGAATAGATCTTGTCCCTCTGTGTAGGAAATGACTTCTTCGAACAGTCGTTAGCCTTCGGCCTTCTTCTAACAGTCAGTAACAGCCGCTTTCTAGGTCCTTGATACAGAAAAATTGATCTATAGCAGGACGTCTGTCTGTCCGTCCGTGGTCATTGCTAGCTCCTAAACCGTTCAGACGTTTTTATTCAAAATCGATATTAGCGAATTAGAACCGGCTATTTTAATTTTTTGGTGTACTTCACGTGAAACCTTAGCAACATTTTCAAAATTTTCTCCAAAATTACTTCTTGTTTTTTAATTTAAACTATTCGGTAAAACTGATGAATTTGAGAAAATTGCAAAAATTAAAAGTTATCCACAAAGTGCATTAGTTTATTGTATCACCTAGTACTTCCGTAACACGGAAAAAGTATTATGATTCTGTGACAAAAAAAGGCATATTACAAGGATTCCATTAAAATAATAAACTTTCTAATCAGAAAATATTCACAATACGGTTCATTGGGCAATTTTTCGGAAAGGGTTCAATGGAATTTCCATCCCAATATAAGGATATCGGCTGATAGTAACTTTCAGCTTCTCTGCAAGATTGGAACAGCCCGACAGCACGAACCGGGGCAGGACTACATTTAAGTACAGAGAACACACGAACATCGCTGCACGCGCTGTGATTGGGCAGCAGCTCTCTGGCAGATTGCTCCCTCGCAACACCTCGACACATCGCTGCAGCCCCACAATTTCAGGGCAAGGGCGAGGCTTTTCAGGATTCTGTCCCCGTGGCGTGAGTCACGGCATGGCAAGACTCAGCACATGGCGGGATTGTACAGAGATTTTCATCGGGGGTTTCAGACAAGTTCTCGCTAGTTACAAAAACATTTACATTGATTTTCCAATGAAGGGTTCCTATTTTATCGATTTTTTAAAATTTTGTTCCATGTTAACTTCTTCAAATCGGACATGAAAACATTGATGCATCTACTATGCAACTCATTTTCTTTTTTAGAGCCGATACGAAGATTATAATAACATTCGTAGATATAAGTTAAATTTCCCGTCCATTGTTCAATATAAATAATCTAATGCCTCGTAAGATTCAATTTTTAGAGAATCAAACCATAATAAACACTATCATAAGTGCATTTATCTGATACGGATCATTTTGTAATTAAAATTAGTGGTTCTACAACATCATATACTTCGTCGTATTATTTGCAACTTTTGCAACATTTAAAAATCTAGATAATTCAAAGAAATTTAGTTATGCACCTATGTTTAAGAGTCCGTCGATCTATCCTAGGAAAAAGTAAAAGAAAAAATGGCACCGTTTATTGAGATTTATTTAATAAATTGATTTTACTTCAAGTAAAATTATGTGAAAACTACAGAAAAAATATATTTAAAAATTGTACATGACTTTATGTATATATCTAATTTTTAAATCAGATTTCCTGAAGGGGAACATCTCTGTCATCATTGTTGTAGTTTTACAAAGTTATTTTGTTTGTAATTTTCGAAAATATAGAAGAACTCTATGAATGAGACCTATGGAATTTCGTAAGCGTTTTTTGGAGAAAAAAAATTGGGACCTATTTTTGAGAAAATAATTGTTTAAAAATTTCACTAAAGTTTTGTTCCTAATTTCGAAGAATTATATATAAACTTACTCAAAATCCATTGTGGAAAATATATCTTCAATATTGCAGTTCTAGGCGGATGTCTAAAATATTTTGAAATTTTCGAAACTCAGGGGGTTTAATGAAAATTAGACCTGCTAGACTTTTTAAACTTCCTTTACGATATCGGAGGGAAACATTTAAACAGTATCTAAGCAATTTTTGAGGACATTCTGAAAACGTTGATACATTATGTAAAGCGTCTCCAAAATATCAAAATATCCGGTTTAAAATCGCAGGGTTTCGAATTTGGCCAGTTCAATTGCGAAATGTCAATTTTGTGTACAATCGTGTGAACGGTTTATGAGTTAGATTTGTCATCACATGAACGAACAGACGGACGCACAGACGGGAGCATTGAAACGTTGCAATTCAGCCAATTGTTGAAGTTGCAATTCAGCTAATTTAATCTGTACTTGGCGTGGCTTTTTCGTTTCTTGGTCATGCTTCATCCTCACGCATCCTCACGCATGCAGTAATATTCTGTGTTAATTTCTAAATGTATCTGAGCACTAAAGGCAGGTATACACAGCGTAAATATAAAATAACGAGTTCGCAAAAGTTGAATCAATGGATCTGTCCGTAATACTGAAAGTACTGAATTTGTGGTATATAAGACGTTCTAAACCGGTGAAGATTCTAAAATTACAATTCTTTTTTTCGTTTGCACTAAAGCGACTCCAGAAGAAAAACACAAGTGAAAAACCACAGCAATGTCTCCTGATTTTACTGAACAAAAGTTTGTAAAAGTATACCTTTCACTTCCTCTTCATCAGTGATTACACACACAAGATTACAATTTACATGAGGAACTCTTCCAATTCTTAACTTAATTACAAAACCATCGAAAAGTTGCCTTCGAGTATAAATGAATGAAAAAATTAATTCAAAACAAAGTAGTCATGTTCATGTTGCCCCGCATAAGGGATAAGATGACAATAGGTGTGAGCAAGACTACGAATGGATACATCATATTATTCAAGATATTCTCGTAACTCTTCACTTACAAAAGGTAGATAAAGACTCCTACAAGTTACAAAATTCAGTGCACAGGTTTAAAGTCCTCAAAAAGTGTCGAAATGTTAAAATAAATTCCTGAAAAACAGTACAAAGGTGTCCGTTTCCAAAAAAAACAGAAATACAGGATTCGTCAGTTACATCCGGAATAACGAACACTTTTTTAAAACAATTGTGTATTGTATAAAAACTTAATTTTGAAAAATACATTTTTCTGGCTACGCCCTCACGCTGTGCGTCCGCCCGCAGGCACGCTCTTCTCGGGCATCCTGTGCCTGTGCATCGGGAAGCCGCGCTTCTCCGTGCGCGACGACGCTGCCGGCCGCATCGGCGCCTTCTTCATCGACCTGGTGATCGCGCTGGGCCAGGCCTTCACCGTCCTCTTCTGCCTCGTCGGCTGGGGATGGAGCATCTGGTGGGGCGTCATCATGCTGCGGATAGCGCGTGAGTACAACGCGCGACGAATCCACGAACCGGCCTTCTTCTCCCCACGCACATCGCGTTACTCTCGTTGAGATTGCGATTAGTTCTCGGCGGTTCGGGGAGAGCTCGAAATATGAATGTGTGTAGCCGCACGTACAATCATACAGCCACAAAGGGTTCTGCTTTCTGAAATATAACATTTACGTTGTCAGCACTCACAAACGTTAGAACCTTGTTACAAACATCAAATACCTCAAAATCAATCTTACATGTTGCCTGCACGTCGTCTATTTTCACGTGCTATTTCCATCTCCGCGAGGATAGCACTTCAGCTAAGCACGATTCTCATACATGAGCCTGTTTTTCGCGCGTTCCAATATTCAAAGACTACTGATATCGCCGACCAAGACTCCCTGATCTTTTATGACCAATAACAACTTTTGACAATAGGCGAAACTTACTTTGCGATCACTTTTCACGACTAGTTCAACAAAGCTTATAGCAAACGCTGGCGCCTTCTACAACTCCTACTTCTCGGAATTTGTAGTGGCAACAGTCAGCTCGCGCGGAGAGTACTGCGCAGAAGGCGTCACCAAGTACTATTCTCAGTTGGTTGAAATGTATGCTTTCTCAGTTTTTTGCTGCCTTCAGCGGGACTAACTCAGAAATGTACGAATTTAGACTGGATTTGTCCCAAGGTAGGCCCGCAAACCTCCCAAACCGATCGATCGTGCACTAAATATTAGGCGCCAAAACTTAAAACAGGCGAATGCAAAATATGGTAAAAGCTGTGAATTTGAATATTACAGATGATTCGTTTAGGGTGAAAACACACTCCAGCGTGATCCTCTTAAAATTAACAAAAAATAATTCCTTTACTGATTTGTCCTCAGAAGTATTGATTCTCGTAAAAAAGTTTTTTTCTTTGCAATTTTTGAGCCTTCTAGACGAAGTCAAATTCTCAGGAAAGTGTTGTGCAGAAATTAAGCATTCCTCAACATAATGTTGTTTAATACAATTGGACATCTAATTGAAAAAAAAACAGTGTTTACTCACCTGAAAAGTCTCATTCCGCATGATAGATTTTTATAAATGCTTAAGCTAATGTCCAATAGAAATAGCTAGGACATGTTTATATTGGACACGCTACCAATCAGATTCTCAGATGTTAGATCAACATTCAGGGTTTCCAAAAATATCAACATTTTGTGATTCTATAACTTTTTATTTGATTACGGGATTTTGATTTTATTATTACAATGAATAGAAAGTATGAAATTTATATTAACAGTACAATAACTTCCCTACATCATTAAGTATGCGCCCTATTGCATCGCTTGCTGACCGAGGGATACGTGAGGTAGGCGAAGGGCGGAGGTAATTGGGAGAGGATGGAGTGTAAAGGGATGAATGGAAGAGCGCAAAAGGTGGAGGGCGGCGGGCAACAGGCAGCGAGTGGCGGTCAGAATATATAATGCCGATGAATTTCTTTTTTTCTAAGCCATGTAAAGAACTGTGAAATTCTGTGATTGAAATCATTCGCGTGAAAAAACGTGAGAAGACAGTCCCTTTTACCCCCCAATAGAATTTACCGAACGTGAGTATAAATAAATAAATCGCTTCTAATACGTCACATGCCACAAGTGGTGCTACATAGAAACGTATCAACAAAGGTTAAAAAACGAGAATTGTTTGTTAAAAATTAATATCCTTAAGCCTTCCATTAAAAGGTTACCAAATAACAAAATTCCATTTTTTTCTGAAAGCATGTAATATACACTAATAAAAATAAGGATATTACTTTTTTTAATCAGCTTACAAATTCCTCACTTAGCTTTGTCGAATTCTGCCGCTCATTGAAGGAGAATTCTAACAATCGTCTTTTCTGATCGGTAGTTTTCCGTGTTTTTTCCATCAACACTAGTGGAATGCCTGAGGAGTACCCTAACAAACGACCGCCCATGATCCTTCTTTACTCTTCCTTGTCCTATCCTCACCCCTTACATACACATACTTAAACTTACATGCACTACAGTAGCACACACGTTGGGAGACCAGTCGGGGGCTTAGATCTTATCCCGGCTGGGGCGGTGCACCGCTAGGAGAGAAACATGGTTGGTGAAAACCCCACAAAGGACATAAGAGTTCAGCACCGGATCTCCCCATCCAACAGGCAATAATACCCGCCACCTTAAAAACCATGCACTACGATTACGGGACTAATGACCTTAGAAATTGTTTGTGTTCATAGGCTTCCGCAGTCGGAGTCAATACGTTCTTGGCTATTCAGGATGAGCCGCGTCTCGATCAATTGTGCTGACATTTCGGCCATCTTGCTGTGGCCATCTTCAGAGCTATACTCAGTATACCATCTTGCTGTGGCCTTCTTTAGAGCTATACTCAGTATAGCTCTGAAGAAGGCTACAGCAAAATGGCCGATGCGTCAGCACAATTGACCGAGACGCAGCTCATCCCGGAGAGCCAAGAATGTACTGACCTTAGAAGTTAACGGGCCCGGAATCACTAATCAATAAATAAATTCCGTTCTTGCGATAACTATTATTATTTTCAAACAAAACACAGAAATGTAAATATTTGACAACAAAAACATATTATGGCTATTCCTATTATGTTATCTGATTTACCATTTAAAATGAATCTGGTACTATTTCCCACCACTACTCAAGGGATGAGGTATTACTCTGCATTCTTTCATAAACAGACACTTCTGATGAAATACAGTTCTGGTCGAAATTACTTATGTTTTTCTAACATGTGAATAAGAATCTAAAAAACAATACCCCTACGCAGTATTTGAGTAATCCCTATAGAGTGTTCGAGTAAATGGGAGTGTGAGTGTATGCGGATCCGTCACTCTCGGTTAGATCACTTCCGGTGCACCAGTCGAGACATATGTGTCATTCGACGCGTTTCGGCCTGGTGTGAACTGTATTCGAATCCGGCTAGGAGATTCTAAGGAATTTCCAAAACCGTGTATTTACATTTTAATCGCTGCAATCTTAGTGCATGGATCGGGAATTAAATCAACGCCACCTAAATAGATCTATGTAGATGGCGTTGATTAAACCCTTGTAGCCAGAGGCTCTCCTTCACATAAACATACGAAACAGTCGCCTTTTAATGTTCATGTAGATTCGCCAACAAAACAATTAATAGATCAATAGCAGAATTGAAAACACAAATTAGGCTGAGTTTGTGAAGTTTTAATCTCTTCAAAAATTAGGTGACACAAATAAATATGAAAGTGTTAAGCAAATTCGAAAAATAACAAAATATAGTTGTAGAAGATGTTGCTACAGAATTTTTGGAAGTAATTGAGAATGATCTTAATAGAGAACAACACTGAAGAATAGCTTAGAATTAGAGAATAACGTGAGTTCCATACACATGATGTAAACACCATCTTCTTCCTCAAAAATGTCTGCATTCTATTTAACAAGCCTGCACGCAAGACATTGTAATAAGTAGCACTTATTTAATTTAAAAATAGTAACTCGACTCGTAACTTCCTAATGTTGAATTCACATTTTATAAACATTGCGTGTAGGGTTTTTTAATGGCTTCAAGAAATATTATTTTATAAATACAACTCGTTCTTCGTGATCATTGATTCGCATGAATTGCAATGGTCCACACAATCATCCAAAAACAAAATAGAAAACAAATGAATTGTCTAGGTTCTTCTCAATGACAATGTTGGCCCCAGAAGAGGAGTGCCGGTGGGAAACAGAAGTCAGGGACGCGAAGCAAGGAATGGAGGATTTGACGGTGTCGACATACAACTAGCGGGCAGAAAGCAACCCGCCCCCTTACCGTTCAAACGCTCGTTTCTACTCACTTAGCTTTATATTATGCACTTAGCTGCGTTACGGGCAATCGTCTTGCAATTATTATTATGGATCTTGTTAAATAGAATTCAAATCTTCGTATTTTTATACAATGTCGTAAACGGTTATGAATATATAGTGTTTGTTGATTTGATATTAGGAATATATAATGTATTCTTAACAAAAATTCGCGCAGAAAAAATTATTATTTTTAAAGAATGATTTTTTAGATTTGATAGGGCCGTTTTATTCAATTAAACAGAGTGAATGAAAAATAGTTTTTATTACTGTCATCACCAAACAAAAACTATTTAATGTTACTGTTTTGTGTTTAACACCACACTAAAATTGTGATTATATCGTAGCAAAGCAAATAAGCCCTACAAGCAATAATACTTGGTGTCCAAATCAAATATGTATTTCTAATTTTTTTAGGTTCATAGCTTACTTTGGTATCTATCGACAACAAACATTACCAAAAAAATTCAAAAGGCAATATTACTTGTACTGTATATAACAGTTCGTCTTTCTCTCGCAGATTTCTCCTTCAATTTTCGCGGTACAGTTCGAATTGCGCATTCTCGTAGGTGGTCCACACTCCTAGAATGAATCTCATTCTCATCATTCCTCACTGCCCGCATTTTCACTCGTGTGGCTCGCGCGTGGCTCCCGAGGTCAGTGAAAGCACAAAATGCTCTGCAAGGCCTGATGTAGTGAACCTCTTATTGACAACCTGGCTATTGCAACCGATTACGAATAAAATTATATTTGAACGTGTATTCGAATGCAGTAATTTGAGCCGAGGCGCGTGCTCTCTGTTGCAGGCAAGAGCCGGAAGCTGGCGAAGGCGGCGCTGGAGGAAACGGCGTCGCGCGGCTCCAACGCGGCCGCGGGGGCGGCGGGGGCGCGCGGCGCGCAGAACCACGACGTGGAGCGCGGCGGCGCCTCCTAGCGCTAAGGCAGCGGCGACGGCGGGGGACGGGTTTTTTTCTTTGGGGCAACAGCGACTACGGGGCGGGACTCCGCAGGGGAAGCGTCGGGATACGCGTATAACTCTTCTTGCCAAGGTGTGCACGGGGACCCGAAAGCCTGACTGACTCGAACCACTAGCCCTTCGAAAGGCAAGAACGGACCTCACAGGCTCAGGGATCCCACAGCAAATCAAGATGGTAGGACTATTTTTGTACTCGAGAAACTTTCCAATTTACCATTTTAGCACTACGCACAAATAAATACAATTTTACAATTTAATTAATTTGTCTTCTTTACTTCCTTTGCTTTCTGTTACCTTTCCACATACCTTATCTTACTCCAACGTAGTTGATACATAATATTTTTGTAAGTTTGCATTTCAACATCATTGCGAATGTTCTATTCACATTTGCCAATGCTGTACTCTTATTCTTTCCAGGTTTCAGAGAAATTCGTAAGACTGAAGTAACCACCACCAAATTCGTAAGACTGAAGGGAGCGATTTCCTCTTTGCACTTTTATTATCCCGGCTGAGGTAGCACAGCGTATCAACTGACGACATTGAAGTGCTTCTAACTGGGAGGTCCTAAGATTCGAGTGGTGGAATTCTGGCGGTGGCATGATTTTTTAATTAGATAGCTTTCTCCGATCAACACCAGACGAATCCCGGATCAATACCCTAACAAACGCACCGCGCACGATCTTTCCTTTCTCTTCCATCTCCTACCCTCACCCTTACTTGCACATACACTTATAAGTACTTATATAAACTTGCACTATCCATATGTCGGAAGCTTAGAGCTTCTCGTGGCTGGGGTAGTGCCCCACTGGTGGGAGGTACCTGAATGGGGAAAATCCTGCAAGCCGAATGTGTATTCGTAGGTCGGTACCGGATCTCTCCGTCCAAGGGGCGGGGAAAAAACACCTCTCTCATGCTAAAAATTACATTAAATTTACGGGAATCATGACTGTCATGGCATAAACAGATAGGGACGCGGCAGCGGCCCAGCGGCGCGCCGGAGAGGCCATTGGCACTCTGGCACCGGCCGACTGAGCGTCGGGCCCAGCAATGGAAGGTGCTGGGAGGTGCCGCTAGGGGGCAGGACGGCAATGGCGACCGCGCCGCCCATTGAGCCGGAACGGCGCGGGAAAAGGGGAGACTCGCTCCACAGGCTCTGGAGCTGAAAAGTGGCCGGCCCGCGGGGACGGACAGTGACAATCGGAGTGCGGCGAACAAGCACGGTGAGCGACGAGGTGCCTAGGGGTATTTGACGTGCAGTGTTGGTAACGGTATTTCTCCAGGTGGTTGATGATCAGTGAAAGGGACCTCTTCTGGAAAACGGTGAACTGACTTGTTCTTGGTTTGTGCTTTTGGATTCGGAATAAACCTGCATTGTTGATAAGAACTGTTGTCTTAATTGTTCCTAAATATACAACAATGACCATAGTAGTTGATGCGGCTGCGTTTGCTGACGCGCCAACTACCACACAATAACTAGGAACTAATCAGTCTTAATCTAAAAGTAATTATTTTTGGGTCTGGAGTATTGTAGAGCCCTGTGGAAGTAGATAAGTTTGATTTTAAAACACGATTTCGGTCAGATTTGGACCACATGAAAAGTGGTCCCCATGGCGCTAAAATCTACATACTCTTCATCCAACCACAAGGCAAGTACGGTCAAAATTGTAAAGTAGGGACCATCTTTAAAGTCGTCTCCACCAAGACATCAGCTGTAAGCAGTACAGGTGCATTATGGAGAATGTCATTATTACGAAATATGAAGAAGCGCCAACACCAATGACCAAAGAGGGACTCGAACAGTGGCGGCTGCGGCAGGGAGGCGCTAGGGACACTGCCCCCCTACTGAGATCAGTATTTCTTCTCTTGCGCTGACTAAAATAATCTCTGTGGGTCTTTAGGGTTGTTTTCGAATCGAACGCATCTTTAGCTTTCAAACTCCCGCTTGTTCCGTAGAACGATTTTCATTGGCTGCGGACACTCGCCTCTGTGTCCTAAACGCAGTGTTGTTATGGAACGTACAGACTTAAAAATGGCTGACAATGAGTGCTCGAATGGCAACGAAGGATCGGCAAATGGCGGCTTGTGACGGCTGCCGCCCAACAGCCTGACCGGGGAGGTAGCAACCTCGTTGCCCGGCGCTGTCTATTGATCAATTTTTGAACTTACAATATTATTTTCGCTTGATTTACGTCTAGGCCTTTTCGCAAGCATTCAGTGCAGGCAGTAATGTGCAATCTGCATGGTCGGTATCATCTTTCCGATCCGTAGACAAACTATGTGAATGCTGTGTTCCGATCTTTGCGTTCAGTTCGTAATGTGAATTTGAGATTGAGAATGGTTTGCAATTCTGTCACAGTCAATGTAGTTATGATACAAGGCTGTGCATGGAGAGAATTGGACCACCTCGGCCTGATATGAAAATTTTACATTCTGATAGAAATGGCAATGGTTCTTTTGTACGGAAATTTCAAAGGGTAAATGACGATATTAATTTTAGGGGGAATTTATCCATGTGTTCTCTCTTTGATTGTAAAACGTTCCAACAATATCAAGAAAAATTCCCCTTACAAAGGGTTGATCGCGTTTCAGTTCTCTCCGTTCGTGAGCTAGCAAACTGAAATCTGAGCTGGATGTGCTATATATAAAAGAATCAGAGAAAGCTTTTTCCACTTTGAAAGGATTATAGACATTTTTAAGAAATACCATGTCGGAAGAGAGATTGAATGGACTTTGTATATTTTCATTATAAAGAGTTTGTTACGAGACTCATTTAATTTTAAATAATTAGTAATATATTTACAGAATGTAAAAACATAAGACTCAATTTAATTTATAGATCATGTGTTTAGCCTGTCTTCCGGGGAGAAAATTCGATTGTAAATTTTACTTATGTGACTTAAACAATCCAAATATAACAATATTTCAAATGCCTAACTTTTTTTGATCCTGTAACTTTGTGTGCCATCCCTGATGCCTAATCCCAGAGCCGCCACTGGACTCTAACCTCCAACCGTTCGATAAGAAGCGGTTAGGACACTCCACCTTGGCACGATATCTGTTCAGTCAGTTAATTTAATATTCAAACGTATCTTATCAACATTCCTTTCTCTGTGCATCTGTAAAACACATACCAGTCAATGATATACCAACCCACAGGCTAGCAACGTGGCACACTTGCAATTCGCTAAATACGATCTTTCATTAAAAATAATTACAGTTGAAAGTTCCAAACTCGTCCGTTCTTCTCGATTACTCTCTCCTCTCCCCTTCCCCTCTGTTCAATGGTGCGTCACTAAGTAACGGTGCATCGCAGGCTCTTAGAATCTGATTTTCGGAGGCACCAGCCGCCACTGATTACATTCCATTGATCTCACCATTCTTTTTCTCAATGTCAGAACGTTTAGTATACGGTGATGACATTAATAGATTGCTCCCAAAATTTGGTGATTCACCATCCGGAAGAATTGTGCCTACTTATAGATTCCTCAAACAGTACTCGCAAAACTGTTCTCATATGGAATTGAGAAACTTTCGATACCAGCAACCCATTCCGTTCAGTATTAGAAAAACTAAGAGAATGTGATCAAAGTGAAAAGTAGGTGATAAATTGATTCTATGCTTTGAGATGGTGTTTAGCACTTCGTTAGTTTCCCTTATGTTGTTTTTAAGTACTCTCATTCTCAATTTGATTTTTCGCTTTGTTTGACCATTATAGGACTTTTCACAGTCTTGACAATATATTTCGAAAACTATATTTTCTACATCTGATTTTCGTATTTTATCTTTGACATTCATGAACGTTATTACTTTCTCGCTTACTACTACCACGGCATACACAAAGATATGTAATGCGAGAAAAAACGGCGAATTTTTCGACAGAAAAACTCTTCTTACAGGGCCCTGGAAACGACAACTGGATAAATCCATTTGCTAAATTTAGAAAGAAAAAAAATCTCTAACACGTGGTGTAGCCAGAAACCGTGACTTGTGGGTCCTTGATACCGAAAAGTCGTTTGACGGCAAAAAGTCTGTTCGTCTGTCTGTGAACAACGGTAGCGGCTAAAGCGTTCCAATCGATTTTATCCCAAACCGATAATCCTCAATCGATCTGGCAGAAGTTGCAGCTCCTTGCATTTTAATCATATATTAATCTTGAGGAATACTTTACATAAAGCTCTTGAAACATTTTCAAAATTTAAAAACGGCGCCAACGATTTTGATTATATTTTGTTGCTGGATATTCTGAAGAATGTGGACAATGGCACAGGTCTCATAATGGTTAAAAACCTAAATTTTTCGAAAGTTAAATTTTTTTCGGGGACTTTCTACAACTAAAATATCAAAGATAGAGATTTTTCTCTTCATAAAATCTGTTCCTTAAAGACAGATTTTAAAATAAGGTCGTGTACAATTTTTCGATCATTTGTATATTTTTCGTGTAATTTTGTGTGAAATATACGCAATTTTTAATGTTCTTTAATTTTTTTTTCAAAAATGACTCCATCGATGTTGATAAAACTATTTTTGGATAGTCTGAACGAAATTTTAAAAACTGATGGTCTCATGTTCGTGAATAACTCTGATTTTTTGAAAATTGAACAAATTCAAAATTTGTTCGGTCCCTTCCTACAACTACAATTATGAAGATGTTTTTTCTTAATAAAATATGTTCATCAAAATCAGATCTGCAAATAAGGTTATGAGGTTATGTTTTTTTAAAATTAGTATCATTTGCTAAACTTTGTTTCAAACACAGGGAATTTTTATTTTCTTTAAGCAATGTTTTCTTAATAATCACAGAACGTTTTTTTATTAACTTGGGACCATAGATAGCATAAAGAACGCGTAAGATAATGATGCAAGTCTAATGCTCGCAAAAATGCGATTTTATGCTAATTAAAAAAAATCGGAGTCTTCTTACACATTCAATTCTACATATGAATTTTTTTCTTAATGCCTTGTGTTCTTAAAAATCAGATCTTCAAATCAATATAATCGAAATAAATACAGGTATCCACCACAAGCGCTTCCTTTGAATTTGTAGGTTTGGATAATATTAGCATTATTTCTAACACTTTACATGAAAGAAAAAATGTGTACCATTAATTTTTACCAACATTTTAATTTTATGTTGTAACGTTTCTTGCGGTGAATTAAAACAGGTAACATTTTAACAAAGGCGTTTATTTTGTTTCTTAATGACACGCTAAAATTTATTTAGAGATAGGTTGCACAGTCCTTGTGTTCTTAACTTGGTTATTTCCTTACACTCGACTCACTTCTCGTGATTATTTATTTACACTTATCACTTCTGATTATTTTGTTTACACTTTTCTCTTCTTCTATACTATCGCACTGTCCAATGCACTGACCACGGTCTACTGCGCAGGGTACAGTTCACGGCGCTGATCAGGTTCCCCTGCACTGCTGTTCACCGCAATGCACACTTCACCGCTCAGCTTCCACTTCAGACTGACTGCTCACGGCCGCCGGCAGCGGCGAATTTATACCTGGCTGGCGCGTCTGGACTTATCCGGAACTTGCGTCATACTTCTACGCGACTTTTACCTCAATTATTCTTTTTCTTACGCATATGAATTTAAATAAAATGTAATAACCATACAAAAGTACGCTTTCACTCTCCACCATAAATCACTTCCCTTCAAAATTTTTCAGCTTCTGAATAACACGTAAATAATTCACGTGTTTTACTTTCCCTCGTGCAACTCGCAAATCCATAATAATCTAGCCTAATTTACTACCACTAAACCAGTAAATATTTCATGCGCATTCACACCCTTTTACGACAATATCAAGATCCGTTAGCAAAAAAATAATAATAATAATTTCATGTTTCTCCAACACTTAAAACTTTCACGCCTACATTCAATTATATTCAATATCCAATTACTTGTTTATAGAGTAAAAAACGGTCATTATCTTTCTTATATATGACCATTTCAGATTTGACAAAGGTAATAAAAGCAACAGTCCTCTCTAAGGAGGCTATAATATACTATAACCTCTTTGATATCCCTAGATACATGCAATTCTGTGCTTGGATAAAACTCAATCGTAGATCTGTTGTCATTCTCTGGTGGAGCGCTGCTAAACAATTGTACATTAATGCACGATGTTGTATTGAATCTATTGTAATGCTAGGCGAAAAAAAATAATTACATTGTAAATATATTAAGGCTTGTGATTGTAAAACATGGCATACAGTACTCCAGGCCTTCCAAGGAAGCTAGCACAAAAGTTTCATTAGTATTGATTCAGAGATTATTACGCTCTAAGTCAACGCACTTCTGACTCTCCCTCTCTCATATATATATATAAAAATTTACACGAGAGATATAGAAGTACAAATCCCCCCCCCCCTCGTCTCTGGATCCGCCCCTGTTCACTTAGATGTAGGTGCTTAGTGATACACGAGATGACATCCAGCTCCAAACAGCCATTAAGAAATGACCTAATCTGGGAACGTATCGATAATCATGGTGGCTTCCTCGGAGCCTAAAGCTAACGGGTCCATCATTTGCGGAGAATATACTCTCATCGGAGAAAGAATCATCCCAGTCTCGATGTAAATTTTCCTTCTCGAATTCCAGCCGCTAGAATTGGTGTTGTCAGCTTCGTACTTTCTTAAAAACAGCTCCACATTTTTTGACGCAAATTTCTTCATAGGACGTGAGTTTACTGTTCTCATAGTCATTCCAATCAGTTCATTCTATATCATAAAACGTGACTCAAAAACATTTCTATGCACGTTCACACTCAAATATTCAGAAAAACTCGCTATCAAATGCAAACTTTTCTAACGCGCAAAAACCACTATTTTTTCCAAAAAAAAAAAACAAACTTTATTATTTTAAAGTTCTGATACTTCAGAACCGGAAGTATTTAAGCCAATTCTTTTTACCATCAATATTCTAGTTTTGCTATGTTGATTTTTTGCAATTTTCGAAATAAGAGTTCTGGGACCGGCAACAATTTTTTTATTGTCCTTTGATTTATAAGAAAAAACTTTAAGCAAAAATTTGGAACAATCTTTGAAAAAATAATTGCCTTTCACACAAAAACTACTCGTTTTCCAGAAATATAACCTTATTTCAAGGACTGTCTTTGAACATCAATTTCGTTAAGGAAAATATCGCCATCTTGAATATTATTATTGTTGTTGTTGAAAGACACCGAAAAGTTTTAACTTTCACGGGGAATAGTTATGCACTAGTGTTATTCAAAGACGACAGGTAGTTTCGAGAAAGAAAGGAGAAAAACACTTTTCGGTATCACGCGACCCCAAAACATATTTCCGTTGAAATCTCTAAATCGATTATTCGCAGCATTTCTCCACACATGTACGGATGCAGCGATGTCTAGAGAGCAAAAGCTACTTTCACGATCTCAATTTGATGCGCTAACGTTGCCGAATCCTTTAAATGCTTCTCATCATCTCTCTCAAGAATACTTCTCAGCCGTTTTGTAACTATTATTATTATTATTATTATTATTATTATTATTACTTTATTTTATTAATCTGATTGGCCACATTGGACCACTTGAGTCGTTCCACTTCACTTTTTACTGTTCATGGTCGACTGTCGAAGGTTTTCACCTTGAGGTGAGGAATTAATCCTCGAGTTACAATTCTGAATGTTATTCAGAAAGGTGGTAATGAGAGATGGAGGATGATAGGGGGGGAAAGGACGAACACATACCATGCCGAGGCGGGACTCAAACCGCGATCTTTCGGTACGAGATCGCTACGGCACTACTGCCTTAGCGATCTCGGCCACCGGATCGGCTTTGTAACTATTACCGCTAAAATATCAGTATTTTTTAGCAACACCCAATTCATCTCTACAGTATAAAAATTACACAATTTATTATAATTTGGGGTAATTATCGACGATAGGAAGCTTCGCATCTTGCACATATAGTTTTCGCGACTTTTGACAAAGAACCATGGATCGAAGTATAGCTTATTGCACAAAACTATGCAATCGATTTTGGAGACTGAAACACGTGTTTACGTAACAAGTGCGTGAAACAGGTGACACGCAAGAGTCCAGTTTGTCGTTCGAGCGCAGCGAGGACGGCAGAGACGAGAGCGGGAATCACCTCGCACTGGTATTATTTAACACGCCGCGAGCCAAACGCAATGCGTCAAATAAAGGAATGTATATTGAATATCAAATAAATAGGTATACCTTACTTATACAAAAGTAAATAAATTCCAGTCAGTGTCATAAACTTGTATGTAAATATTTAGCAGACAACTTTTCGCGCACTGTAAATATAAAAAAAAATAAACCATTTCGCACACGGTAAACAGCGTTTCGCGCACAGAGTGTTAAATTTCTTTAACGCCACAGGCAATTTGGGTGAAACTAATTAGAAAAGTTTCCGTCTTCACGGGTTTAAATCCATTGTGGAAGTTAAGTGGAAACCTAAGTCATTATCTTCAAAATATACATAATATTCCCCATCATGCAAATGCCTTTTGATAAATTAGTTGCGAAGTGTATAAACAAGTACAGCAAGCAACACACTTGAAAGTATTGTAGATTTCATTAACAGATATTCATTTATGATAGTTTTAGATAAGGGCAAATAAAATCTTCAATTCAACAAGGCATCATTAAAATTTACAAGTGTGAAATTGTGTATCTGCATGGTTTAATAACATTTTTTTATTACAAATAAATTTGAATATTTCCAAACATCCATTCCATTTCAGAAAAGAATTATCAGAATAAACAATTTTTTCTCTCCAAAATGAGGGTATTCCAAAATTTAGTTAAAAGGTTATAAAAAAAATAAAAAAATAAAATAAAGGGGGGGGGGGTGAAGAACAACGCATGTAAGGGATTTATTCATTTATTTTGCTTTTCACCAGAACAAAGTGAAACAAGAGCAAGTCACCTGCTTCCTTGCAAACTCTTCCAAGAACCATCCGGGAATTCCTCATAGTAGGCAAGGACTGCTAAGTCTGCTCTGTGAAGCCCAGGCCTCAGAAAATGAAAAGAAATTCAACTCACTCATACCTCTTGCGGCAACACTGATTCACTAAAACCAATGGGGAAAAGTTATGACTGTGATGCAATATATATACATATATGAGAACTACCAATATCTCACATGACACATGTACTCAAATGAAGCTGAGGCATAGAAAATCACAACTTTAAATTTGCAAGATTTTTTTTTTGTTAATTGACTCTGAGTGGCTGTTTCAACTTACATCCTAATTATTCTTTAACAATATAGGACTACATCTAAAGTAGCTTGAATCAGTACGAATTAAATGGAAACTGTTTATTAAGTGTCAAAAAGAGGTGGGCTCTCGGCAGAGGTAGAATGGTCACTCAAGATTGTAAATCAATTTAGCAGCACTCCGCCATGGGGCAAATCCCTCAGACAAACCCTGCCTGCCAATGGCGTATTTATTATAAAATAATTCCTTAATATTAGGGATAATACTTGTACATCAAAGACTCTCAGCAATTCAGAACACAAACTATCTCCCATCCAGAAACTGCTGTTCCCTTGCCCTCAAGCCAGGAGCAACATCTAGTATTGCAGCTAAAAAGTAGATTCATAAAAGATTTGTTACGAATACTCAGGTACCGTCTCCTAACCATTGGAAAGGTCTGCATGGTTTGCCTGTGGCTGAGTCACCACAACACTTAATGAACGGTCACATTTAATGTCGAGCATTATCGCCTCGGCCTTGTGGGGTGACATTGCTTAGTACACGGGAGCACCACGACACTTAAAGAATTTTCTACTACGCTGATTGATTCACCTAGCCTAAATATGGTTTTATACGTACTTGTTTTTAATGCATCAGCTAAATTGTTTAAAATATGCTATGCCTTTGATCAAAGCAAAATAATTAAAAACATTTCCTTGCAATAGATGTGACCATATAGTACATAAAGTATACAAAATAGTATAATAATTGTTCATCTGAAATGTGCAGTATACAATGGCGATGATGCACCGTGGTTGTTAAGGTGATGGGAGATAACCGCAACGGTTCTCTTGTGGCTTGGGCCATCTGTGCCGGGCAAGCTGATTTTCATGTCTGGTGCATTTATCAGCGACATTAGCAAGTGCCAACCTGGCCTGACACAGTTATGAAAACAGTACACAAGCAGACAGAGCTGAAAACAAGACAACTGCTAATTGGCGTGCACACATCCAGTAAATGTTTAATGTTGTTTCAATGTTGGAAACTAGGACAAAGTGGTTTACATGATAGAAAACCAAAAAATACCAAATGTTACACTTAACACAAACACCCTGTGACATAAAGGCATGTTAAAATTGTTGTAGGAAGTATGACATGAGCAAGGTCAGTACATGTATGTGAGTGTCACTGCCCGCCAGTACATGTACGGAGTTGCGTGTCTGTGCAGGGGAGTGTGGCAGTGTTCTGTAGAGGTAGTGGGTGCGTGCCGTGTCTGTCCATGGAATCTGTAGCTTCAGCGTGGTGTTAACTTCACCAAGCCATGTGGCAATGGTGAGGCATTGGGAGTTTAGTCAGTGTGTCGACTGGGCTGTACACTGAATGCATGCCAGCAGAGCGCAGCCTCAGGATCTGCACCAGAGACTGAACTCTGCTGCGCCAGCACTGCTACCACCTCAGCTACAGAAGGCCAGGCCTCTGGCCAGATCTGCCTGTCCACGCGATTATCAGCCATCGCCTCAACTGGCAGGACATTGAATGGTGTTGCGGTCTGGGCAGCAGGAGGAATTAACAGGCAGATGCAAATGCATCAATGAACATGCTGGATGCTTCTTGCAACCGCCTGTTGAGGCTAACCGAACACTACAAATTGTACAAAACAAAGAGGTCTTTCCCTCAACTCACACTGGGAACTCAGAGCTAGGCTGAAAGCACACAGCACAGGAACACTATAGGGTATAAAAAAAAAATCTACAAGGTTGCGAACAACAATGTGCAACTGAAAAAAGAAAACAGGTCAAAGAATGTAATGGAAAGTATTTGGCAAAAAACCCCTCTTACGAAATCAAATGATTGATTTATTTGTCTCTCCCTACTCTCTACAACACAATGGAACTAACTATAACTCTCCTGAACAAGCAGCTTGAAGCAGAGGCAGGTAGGAATGAGCTACTTCTGGCAGCTGTGACAGCACACAGAAGGGATGTAGGCCAGGAGAATAAGCCAAAAACAGACACTAGCAAAGGACTTAATGAGGAAGTCATGCTGCTTGTCCAGGCAGAGAAGTCTACAACTTCCTAGTTTCTTAAGCCTACTGTCTTTCTTAGTTGTGGAGCATATACAAACATCTATCTGTTTGCACATGTTGACACAAATAAAACTCTACTTCAACGTAAGGTATAATCTAAAAAGGCATAATTCTATTATTGAACAACTTAATGTAAAACTAAAAGAGATGAGGAAGACCAAAGAGTGCAGAAATACAGCATCGGCTTACCTGCCGAGAACGCAAACGGGCAATGGGAGACACGTTCGACATTTAACACGTAAAAAACACCGATACATCTCATTTTAAAAACTGTGGAATGATACTTTGAAAATAGTATTCCTTCCAATTTTTTGTTGTTTAATATATAAGCACTATCTTGATATGTTTTAGATTGACCACAGCAGCGGCTGCCACTGTGGTTTGGTGCCGGGCGAGCGGGCGGCCCGGGCAGGGATGGGACGCGCCTCACGGCTGCAGTTCTGGCCTTCCTTCACGCGCAACACACGGGCAGGAGGGGCGGAACAGGGTGGGGTCAGGAGACAGGGTGGGGATCTGCGCACTCCCCTGCCAGATAGGCAGAATGGGATGCGATTTTTTCACTCTTACACAGACGTTACTTGTGGGGACCAAATAAGGGCATTCAGGACCCCAATTTGGGTCATGGCCTTTCACAGAGAAGATAACTTTTTCAAGTTTCTCATTAAAATAATACAAACATAAAAAATTGATCTACTCATAAAAAAAAAATAATAATAAAAAAAATCATTCAAGGGTTTGAGATCTCTCAAACATCATTTATACTGTCAATACAATTAAAGAACGTCTACAATCCCATCCCAGACTCTTCCAACGTCACCTCGTAAACTTCCTACACACATGCCTTGTCTTTTACCTTGCAGCTACCATGCAAACTTGGCAAGGAAGGGATTTTTCTACCCATTATTGACAATGAGTAAGTATATGGAGAATAATGGGATACAAATGCCTTTGCCAGATTTGCAAACATTTGGAAGGTTTGATGGATGTCAGAGAGGAAAAGGAATAAATCCACAAACCCTGAAGCAACATTCATTGGTCTATGATTCATGACATACAAGATTAATTGTGAGCGTGATTCACCCACAACTTCCTCAAAATCATTGGGAAAGAAAAAAACTGATCTTGTCACTTAACAATAAAAATTACAATTCAGAATATAACACAGGAAAAATTAACATGGACTGAATCGTCAGGGTTGTGGGGGTCACAAGGATAAGAATGTGTAAGTGGGTTTACTGCATATTATCTGCTTTCATATCTGATTTCATCATTCCATCTTGTGATTGTTGATTCTGTTGATTGCCACCTCCAGATTCATTGCCTCCACGGAGCGATGTAGGAATCTGACGTGATGATGAGAAGCAGAGTTTCATTATGTATGGAAATTTTCCCCCTGCTGTTGAAAGGAAAACAAATTCAGTGATTTTTTAACAGCAAGTAATGTGCATTTATATGAAACTCATACATCACTTATTTAAACAATTGCAATGTCTCAGAAAAAGTATGTGTACAAAATTAAAAATTAGGAAAAGAAATTTATTTTAATTATAATAAGGAAACAGATGCACACAAAATGACAATTACAATTATGCATGAAATTTCTTCATTGGACCTTACCGGGATTGTGAATGGGCAGGTGATTACACATCATTAGGGCTTCTACAGCTGCACTAATGTCATCAAATTCCAAGAGTCCCGATGAGCTGCGGTCCGCTAAAAAAGTATTTAAAAAAGTTATTTACTCTCTCTTAAACCATATAAATTTGAAAATTGCATGCTCCGTTGTGTAAAAAGACTTACTTTTCAGAGGGAACAATTTCACTGTCTTGGGAACAGGAACATTGTTGTCTTCAAAGACTTTGCTTAACATTTCCTCAGTAATATTTGGTGGAGTGTTGAAGAAATGCAGAATCTGCAAGATGGCAATTTAAATATATTAATACAAGTAAGGAAATGCCCAATGTGCAAAATACGTGGTCTAAACATTTTAAAATTTGTTTGAACGTTAAATTTTGTAAGACAATATAAAAAACACAATTTCATATATACATTTACATTGTTTCAGAACACAAGGAGAAAAGTCTTGACAAAATTTATTCTCTTAACTTTTTGAATTTCGCAAAAAAGCCATCTATCTGTACACTACCAATCTTCTGAGGAAATCTGCTTTTCACTGTTCTCATTGTATATGAATCTCTTTCAGTTAGTATATTTTAAAAAAGAAGTACTTCACACGACTAGGAGAAAGGACATGGATAAAAAAAACACATCTTTGTCGAGTACACTGTTGTTGAGATTATCAAAGGAATGAAGAAAGACAAAGAAGGAAAGAAAGAAAGAAAGAAAGAAAGAAAGGAAGAAAAGAAAAAAGAAAGAAAGAAAAGAAAAAGAAAGAAAGAAAAGAAGAAGAAAGAAAAGAAGAAGAAAGAAAGAAAAGAAGAAAGAAAGGAGAAAAGAAAAAAAAGAAGAAAAGAAAAGAAAGAAAGAAAGGAATTACAATAGAAAGCAGAAAGTTAATAGTAAGGAAAAGAAAAATATTTTATTAAAGTTTAAAACTTATATTGAAGAAGAAAATCATAATTTTAATCAATCCCCATTTAATTGCAACCTTTTTATACCAACCCAATGGTTAATAATGCTTATCACACGATAAGCACGATATCCTACTGAAAATTCTGTTTTACAATGTAATCACCTTTGAAGGTGGCTGTATCCTGTTCTTGCTTGCCATGGACGGGTTAATGAAACGATTGTTCTTGTTGCCCATGAAGTCTTTGAAAGAAGGAGTTTTGTCTGGTAGTGGATATGGATTCTGCACATCACTAAGGAATGCCTGTTTGGAAAACCTGCAAACAAAAAATTGTAGTAATATATATTGCAGTCTTCATTTGCACGATTTTTTTTTTTTTTTACTTTTAATTAAGAGATGAAGCTGCGATTCATTTTTGTTTCATGAATGAGTAAGAGAATAGAAAAACAAAGAAATGAAACAAATTAATTTAGTGTTTATACTCAAATACATTTAGAAAAAATAAAGTAAAAAAAAATTTTAAATGTAAAAGGTAAACAACAGGTTCAAAGCTGAGCAGCAAAAACGAACCCCAATTGCAATTTGGAGCCAAGAAGAGGTACATTGTTGAGGTTTTGCACACAACGTTCAACTGCTAAGCCATCACCCATTTGAATCATGGCACAACCTTCCTTTGTCTTCAGGAACTTGATCTGTGGAGAAATATGAAAAATTAAAAGCTAGATATATGAAAAATTCAGTCAATGGTAAAAGAAATTAACATCGATATCCTTTTAGATATGGAGGGAAATGAATGCATTTCAACACATTGTGTGGAACAACTCCTTGGTTGTGTGAACTTACCCGTACAACATTTCCATACAGACAGAATAGATTGAATAGTTTGTCAGTGTTGACCTTTTCCATATCCAGCCCATAAACCATCATCACTGAACCTTGCTGAGATACTGGTGGAGAAGGTCCTCCTGGCGTTTGAGCCAAAGCTGGAGGTCCATAGCCAGGACGTCCAGGTGGTGTTGGATGTAATGGTTCACGCCCTCCGTATTCTGATTTCATGCCGTACCTATAGAAAACAATTCGTCTCTATAGTCAACACTTCAACTAACAAGTATTCTGAACAGAAATACAAGCGCACCCGTACTGTAATGCTTGTGTAATTTAAATTGAAAATAAAAATAATAGGATTCTTTAAATTTACTATGACTGCCAAGACGAAAATGTTTTTTAACAAACCTATCAGCAGGCTGGTAACGATCTCCATAGTGATCTGGATAGGAACCTCCACCAGGTCCATTTTGATAGCCGTCATCATAGCGATCTGGAGGAGCTGGTCCGTATGGAGGCACTCCGCCTCCACGCATTCCATCTCCTGCTGACAAACCAATGAAGATCGGTGCATAAATATCGAGCAGAAAACAAGAAAAGGTCCTCCATTGCTAATAAGTAAGAGCAGATGTTAATGTAAACAGGTATTTTTACTGATAGAAGATACCAGCATTTGATAATTTTTTTAAATTTTGTATCACATTCTGAATGCATTAAAACCTTTTTTATTTTACATATTTTGGTATATTTACACATTTTGTCGCACTTTAATGTATTTACATATTTAAGGGATTACTTCAAATATGAGTTTGCAAATAAATGGCCCCGGAATATCTTTCTATAAAACAACCCAAATAAAACTGCTCTCATGACCTCTGCCATGTCAATTGTCAAACTTGCCCCCTACCTGCTTCTTGGAAATATTGTACTCTGAATTAAGGACAAACCAAGATTTGAAACGAAGGAAGAATTGCCATCACATGCACGCTCATAGTTCAAAGCCCATGTGTAACTTGATGAAAACCTAAAGTACATTTCTTGCAAATCATTGTCTTATCACATTCCACAAATCCCACCAAGAAAACTACACCTCCTGCCAGGGATGCATCCAGACTCTATTCATGCCTAGTAACTTGTTCACTTGGGAAGTTTATTCTTCAGGTATTTTCCTAGCGGGGAACTGTCCTAGCTGGGTCATACCAACTGGTCTTCGAACATATTGGTAGTGTTGTGAATTAAACATGTGAGTGAGTGAGTGAGTGAGTGTGTGTAAGGGGAGAGGAGGGGTCAAAAAAGAAGGAAAGATCATGCAAGGCTATTCGTAAGGAATTCACCTGGGATCTGATCAGAGCAGCCGTCTGCTAAAATTCCCATCCATGTACTGTTTGAATTCAATTCAACAAACTAGTTTCAAAAATACAACACCATCGTGTCTTGAACCCTATGACCTTTTGATTAATGATACTGCAGAGGCAACATAAACAATGTTGCATTTAAAGGGAGCAAGGTCCCCATATCCGCCTTCTGATCCACCACTAATATAGTAGTGATGCGGTTCACCTGCTTCTTGTAAACAACATTGTATAATCTATGTACATATTTTATATTTCATTTAAAACATCTATTGTTTGGTGAAAACAAGGATCTAAATACTTCTGTAGAGGTAGAATGTTCATTCAGATACTTGGAATTAATTTTAACGTGTTTACAGCCACACTTTGTGTTTGAAAATTAGGAAAATGCACCTAATGGGTATTTTTCCTCTATCATTAATTTTTATTTTCCATATGATCTATTTTTTCTTATATGTTTGTGAAGAAGACTTATATAAGTACAAATTTTGCAATTTTATTACAATAAATTCTGTTCCATACTAATAATTATATCTTAGCATTCTTATTTCTTTCTTTCTCAGTAATACAATGAAATGAAACATGATATTGTACATTATAGTTAAGATTATGATATTTTGTGCATCAGAAGACCTAGCATAAAAGTTTCTTTTAAAAACTATGCATGAAGAATTCAATTTTCAATATAAGGCCAGTACAAAAATTTTACAATTACACAACAGACCATCATTAATGATCTCAATAAGAATTCTAACAAGTACATTACTTCCCAATCCCATAAATAGCACAGTGCAGGTGCCAAGAACTGGATATGGCCTTCTATTAAGACGGAACATTTGGCCAGCAGGCACCATTAGACCCTCATCACTTTGAGGAATGTTAACGACAGAGGCAGTAGGAGAAGGCACCATTGGATCAATGCCATTGCATGTTTACAGACTAAAAGCATTCTCCATGATGACTTGCAATGATAGACAAAATGTCTAACTTATTTCATAAGATACTACACATTAATATTTTGTTAGCAATTTAAATTTGCGATTACTTTTCATGAACAGATTTGAGCAATTGCAAAGAATGGGAGAAACAGATTCATCCAGATCAACTTATACAATAAGGACAATTCTGAGGTGGATCAAGAGAACGCTATTCTCTATCATCAGACAGGATGCATAAATCTAAGGAAGGAAAAGAAAGAACAAGAACAGATGAACTGGCGCAAGAGGCAATGACCAATAAAGATCACGAGTGCCTTTTCTCCACACAAAAAGGAGGCTTTGTGAGAGTGGCCGGTGGCTCAGACAAGATAGCGCCACGGTCGTTTCTGAGGAAGAATCCTCGCCGCGGGGACATGGCGCCATCGTCAAGTAAGATTGATGACGCCAGCAATTAGGGCAGGGAGGGGGCGTAGACAATGAAGGGCGGTAGAGACGGCGGCAACATGAGCGCCGCGACCGGCCGAGGACTCGCTGAGTCCAGGCTCCGGAGCCCCGGGCGTCGCTTGGCGGGCGGCCAGCCCCGCCGGCAGAATGTTAATTAGCGCCAATGTCTCGCCCGGCGGGCGCTGTGACTCAGGCGCGTGATCCCCGTGGGCGAGCGGTGCGGGAAGAGAAGAGAAGAGAAGAGTACGGGCTTCGCGCGGGGGCGACGGGCCATCGCGCGGCACCCGTATAAATAGCATGGCGACGGGCCGCTCCAGGGTGGAGAGGAGCGTTGTAGTGCGGGGTGGTGAGAGGGCGGAACGGGGAGGGGCGGGGCGGTGCGCCGCCGTGCATCACTCGCGTCATAAAGGGCGCGTGCGGAGATCCTCTCCACCGCGATACGCCGCGTACGCGGCGAGGGCGGGGCCCCAGGCGTCGCAAGAGCCTCGTTGCGAGGCGAAATTTACGAGCGGTCGCAGGAGGCAAGCGAGAGGGCGGGGCACCGATACTCCGCCCCCGCAAGCGCGACATCCCCGCCGGCCGTCGGCACACAATCCGCGCACAACCGCTATTTCGGGCGGTCACGCGCTCTCGGGTGACAGGTCGTGGCGGCAAGGAACAGAGAGGGTGGGTAGGAGGGAGATAGGGATGAGTGGACGAGCAGAGGAGGGCGTGCCGAGGGAGGTTGTGGCAGGGGAGGTGCGCGGGGCGGCGCGGGGCTGGCGGGCCGGCAGTAAATCATCGCACGTCCAGTGCCGCTAAATATACGCGTGTCCGCGGCGACGGCCGCAACGTGCGCGGACACCGTATCCGAAAGGGCGGTGCGCACACTCGCTGTGAGGATCGGGGATGGGATGTGGCGCGGAGCAGAAATTTCAGCGCACGTAGAGAGCTTTGACAGTGGGGGAGGGCCGGCAAACGTAAGCTACTCCTTAGATACTCACGGTAGGGCTGAGGTCCAGCACCGTATCGCGGCTCCTGCAGCAGAGGGGCGGGACGACCGGCCGGTGGGGCTTCCTTAGATCCTGCAACAAAGGAGGGGACAAGGCGCGGTTAGAGGAGGACGAAGAGAACTTCCGGGAAGGCCTATTACCTGACGTCATCCCAAAGCAAAGGACACGGTAATTCATGAATCTTCAAATTGCACCTGTAGCCTACGTTACCTTTATGCCTTCCGAAATAAAGACACGAGTTTCGTAACCCTACATTTCATGTCCTGTCACTTCGTTAGTTCATAAGTTACCTATTTGCTTCGCCTTTAGATGGAAAAAATAAATTCAATTTTCATCGTTCGTGACTTGTTTTTATAATTTTTTAATGACCGCTCCACCATTTTCGTCAATATCTATTCAACAATTATGAAACCAACAAAGCATGCCCTCAGAATTTGGCTCAATTTGGTCACAACCAAAAGTATATTACCGGTCCTCATTGCTTCAATGCTCCATCCACACTATATAGTATGCGGAGCTACCAGGTCTTCGGAGAGAAAAAAAATATTCAAAATAGGATTCAAATTTCATTCCAAAAATTGTGCCTCTTACAAGCAACAAATATTGTTAGATATTTAAAGAATCAATGGATTGTTAATTGAAACATTGCACTGAAATAAATTTCTACGAGGATTAGGAGGGAATTTTTATGTAAATGGATATTAAATGAAAGTACAGAAAGCACGATCACAGGATGCTGATGCATTTAGATTTATTTAGATTCAGTCAAAAAACTAAAAAGTGTAAGTGACGTATGGGGGAGAAGATAATTTGCGCACGTTTTGTAACTATCACAAAAAGGCTATTGCGCTAACGTGGAGGTTACATGGTGTTTATCTCTTAAATTAATTTTCTTATTTTCAACCAATTCCAGATTTAGTACTTGTCAAGTACTTGAATTGTTTTAAAAAGATCTCTTGAATTCTACTACGTTCATAAGCTACAAAGCAGTCTTACGAGCTCTCCAAGCCCACATATTTTTAGATTCGCGATGACTGGAGCAAATAATTGTCACGAGGACATATTGTGTCTTTTAGAGGAGGAATGTTTGCCTTGTGTGAGCAATAAGTTGAATTAGACAAGGTTAAAATTACATAGGAATAAATTAAATTTCTCAGGAACGTTTTGAAAGATTTTGGTTCACACTCGTAACATGTTGAAAGAAAAAAGACTGGAAATAAAGTTAATAAATATTTCTTTAAAAGAAAATTCAATATGAAGTAGTACACGCAGCCGGACTCAAAATAGTATCCCAAATTGTAGCGCAAGATTTTCTATTTCACTTCAATTCTCTACTTCATTATTCAGATTCTTACAATGCAATATAATACACAATTACACCCTTAGTGTGTAAGATGTCAGATCTTTAGAAAGAAATTTTGTGATTACGCTAAAGCTAGAAATGTATGTTAAAATTAATCAAAATGTATCATGTAATTCAATTTGAAAATTGGTTTTAAAATCTTAAAGAAATTTCATTAGCTCGATGGAACGTTTCCCTCTCCCCGTTTTACAGCTTTTGTTACGAAAAGGACAGGTTTGAAAACGTAAATTCTGTAAACGTATTCCTTGAATGGCCTTTACTCATGAAACGAAATAAGAAGGAGGATACTTTGTGGGTAGCGGTGTTTCCTGTCCCCGGAGAAATAAGAAAAAATAAAAATAAATAAATTGTGAATCTAGCGATGTCATTATTAACCGATATGAATTCTTGAAGGAATTTACACTTTTCAACTGCGGCTGCCTACTGAGCAATGAACAAGAGAAGGGTTTGGTGGAAGGATGGAAGAAATAATAGTAGTAGTAATAATAATAATAATAATAATAATAATAATAATAATAATAATAATAAAACGCAAGCGTAGAAGCGAGGAATAGGAGGTAGGGCGGAGTGGCCAAACGAGCGAGGCAGAAGCGCAGCGCCTTTTCCAATAACTTGCTAATTTTTTTTAAATTCCTCCGCGGCCGCCCATAAGCCGCCGCGGACGTAATTGGGCGCCGCCTGGGGCTTAGCAGCGAGGGCGCCCAACGCCCGGACCGTGCTCCGATAATGAAGCTCTGGTCCCAATTACGCGGACTTTTGCGCGTAGGCGGATTAAGAGGAGACATGACGGGTCGGGATGACGCCCGAGGAAAGAAGCTCGAAGGCGGGGGAAGCAGAGGGGAGAGAGGCGAAGCGACCTAAGCAGTTGCTCCTCGTGTCAGACATCCCTAGAGTGCGCGAGCCGAATAGCGTTTGAATGCAATTTGTCTTCTATGACAACGCACATGGAAATAACACTGGTCAGCGTTTGGTTTGTCATACTCGTACACTGATGTTTTTTCCATTCGTTCGTTAATTAAAATCCCCAAGTCTCGCCACCAGAGTATTGTCTTTTTTCTCCCTGAACTATTAGTGACTTGGCACTAAAACACAGAATTCTATTTCCTAGCATATGTAATTTTGAACAATTTTATTCGAATTACCAAAGATAATTGAGGAATCCGAATTGCATCACAAAACGGTGGTTTCGTAAAACTCCTCGTCTGATTCCATATAGTTTATTATAACGAGTTTGGGCAGCTTTTATGAGTGTGCAGATCGTGTTTGCGCGACTGGAAGCATCTACGAATTTAATTTAGCGGTTTAATTGAATGAAGTCGTCTGTGCCCCGACGCGGCCTATCGCCCACCGCCGCGTACCAGCGCGCACCGCGCCGCGGCTTTTTCTTTCGCGTCGCCCGCGGCGTAATTATTTCTCGTCCGCAACGGTTTACTCCCAGTAACGAGATCCAAATCCGCGCGGGCGCGCACCGGGTTAGGTTACGTCATCTAATAAACGATTCGCGTCAAATTTGAGCCAAATTATGTGCTCGTTGTAGCCCGTGGCCGCGGTAAAATTGCGAACTGAAACGGGCTGAAAACGCTACGTTATACCCTGACCCCATTATTAAACCGTGCCCCTCCCACTCCCACTCATGTGTAACTACGTTACGCAGCCCCTGCGGTGCAGTCCGTAGAATTAGCTTCCAAAATCCGCGGGCGGCGCGCGAAACCACGCGGCCGTGTTTAGCAACACTCCACCCGTCCCGTTGATCCTTCATAAATATTTCAAATCTTATTAATAAACACCGAGCCGCGCGGGGAGCGGGAGCGGCAGGATGGGCCGGACGAGCGCTGGAGGCCGTTCCGCCAGCTCCGGCCCTCGGCAGTTCGCCGCATTTGCATCCCTCGAGCCGGTCGCAGGACGCCCCTCCCCGCTTCCGGCTTTGTCCGAGTCGCTCACGAGGATGTAGGAAAAGCCAGGCATTACAAAGCTCTCAAACTTTTCCCCTGTCACGCCGGACTAGTATATCATGCCTCACTAGTCTCCCAAAGCCAATGGTGCAGAACTATCGATATTATGAAACGATAAAACTCATTTGTTCGTATGATTTAATTATTATAAGCACCCGGAAATGCTTGAAAACTTATTTATTGAGATCACATCGCGTAACTTCATAAAGCTATAAATTAGCGTTGCGTCATAGCCCTTCTCACGGATATAAGACTTCATGCAAATTATTGAATTTGAAGCAAGAAATTGTACACGATTTTATTAAATTTTAAACGAAATTAACTGAACGATGCTATATACGAACAGCCCGTTTTAAAGATAAAATCAAAAGTATGTTAACATTTCAATCAGAATACTTCCATCGGTTGTTTTTGAATTCAAAATCATTATCTACGGAGGACAAATGAATAATAAATGCCCCGCACACATTTCATTTATCAAAATTCAAACAATATCCTTTTCAGTAGTGCGTTTTCTCGTAGCTGGTCCTCAACTGTCCACAATGCAAGGCGCGTCGCGTCGCGTCGGGAGAAAGAAATGCAGGGCGCGCGGGCGCTGAGTCAGACTCCAGAAACAGCGGCGGCAAACCTGGCGACCGCCGGCGCCTTGAGCAACGGCCGCATCACACTTCCAGGAATGTGACGCGACGGCGCGAGGCGGGACAGGGTTCGGATAATGGGCGGGGCTCTGCAGCGCCGGTCCAGGGTACAGGCGGGGGAGGCGAAGGCAAGAGCAGGAGCAGAGGCAGGAGAGACGAAGATATCGCCGGCGCCGGCCTGGGGTTTCGCCGGGCAGGAGGCAGCGGGAAAAGTTTTCTGCGATCGCTACCAATTTCCTGAGCGAAGGGAAGCCTCGCCAGGAACCGCTGAAGATGTATTCACATGTCCAGCTCGTGGGGGAGGCAGCGCCGGCCGGTGGCCGAAGCCCGAGCGCGTTAGCAATTTCGAGCAGCACGCAACGTGGTCGCCGACAGATTCAATTACCACCGGACACCGAATATTCGACGTACAGAAAAGAAAACAGTTCAGAACAATTCCTAGGAATTGTGGTGGACCATCGGAACAATAAAAAACAAGGTGTGGAGAAAGAAGGTAGGAACAAAACCAAGGAAAATAAAATCAATCGTGATCGAAAAACAAGGAGTAAAAATAGTTGGGGAAGAAAAGAAAGGAGGTTTGGAGAATCTCATTTCTTTACTGATTTCCTCGCACAAAAATTCCGGGGCTCTTTTCCCATTCACAACCGCGCATCGTTGAGCGCGCTATATCCCCTCCCCTTGTTCCCAGCGCCCTCGCCCAACCCGCTTCCCCGCGCCCCAGCTGCGCCGGAACAAGCGGCGACAGGCGACAAACACATTCATCTGACTTTCATGGAGCAGTCTGTCCCCCGTCCACAAGCGCTAAGCGCCAAGCGGGTGCGGGCCCCAGTCCCACAGCATCCCACGCCGCACTCACAGTCCACGCCGAACAACCATCACCACAATATTACTGTCAACTTTTCTCTTTCAAAATACTTGTTTATAGTCATTCTAAATGATTATTCACACCACAAGAGGTCCGGGGAATCCAAGTCCCGGGAAGCTAGGCACCACACCACCGATTTTACAAAGAAATTGGCTTCTCTTGAGTTCGTCGGATCGTATCGTGCAGAGACGAAGCGTCGTAGTGGCGTCGTCTTGAAGGGGCGACGTCCCATCTGGAAGCAAGAGACAGGAGGA